GAAACAGGCTTGTGGGGACAAACTTGTGGTTTATTTGTGTTTTTCCTCCCACCTAATATACAACAACATTTTAGATGTGAAAATATGACTAACTTTGGGCCAGTATTTTGACTGATTTGATGCATGTAGATATGGGAGAAATATATGCAAATTAGCCTCCAGGAATACCTTGAAACTTCGTTCCAACTCATTGTCCAACGATACACAAGGTGAATCCATACTAATTCTGTGTATTTCTGTAGCTAATGCGAGCTGGAGTTGATTGGATGATGTCACAAGACACACCACTGATGTAAAATACAACAGACTCTAGGTTTGCAAACAAAGCAATGGCAGACAAGTTTTTATGATTTTTGGAGGGTTATATCGAGGCAGAAAAAGTTAAGACAGACGCCATTTATGGTAATTTACCTAAGTTTGGATTTATATTTTACATTTTTGACAAAAACAGTTGGAAAAAAATATGAAATTTTGTCATAGTAGCACTTTAATCAAGGGCTTGTGCAAAGTTTTCAAGAACAAATTAGGTGTTATAAACTAGTTATTGCAAGCAGAAGTTTTTGGACTCATGTGAAAGAAAACTTAATCTAAATATAGCATGGAAGAGTGCTTGCACCCTGGGATTAATTTTGATGCTTTATCAAAGGCAGCTGTCCTCTCTAAAAAGTTGCCCGTAAATGAAGCAAGCGATGGAACACAAGCACTAAGATATCTACAAGCTCACAAGTTCCAAGATGGAAGTGGAAGACTATGAGGATGGGGAAAAGCAAGAAAACCTAATCCATCTGTTGGGTTACTCAATGAATTCTGCTGGATTTATTTTTACTTGCGGCAGCCGTTCAAATGATATCTCCCAATTTAGAAACATCAATAAGTGTGATATACCTTGGCCTTGGTTCAGAGGATGAAAGGTTTCTGCCTCCCTATTACTGGTCCCTTCCTGCTATGTGCTACCTCAACTACGACCATGAACAATGGCTTTTCATGAAAAATCTAAAGTACAAGACACAAGCGCTTATGTTTAAGGACGGTGCCTACTAATTGCAAAGGTTTTTGTGCCAGGTTAAGACCACATGGAAAAAGTAGACCTTTCCGGGCCCTATTGGAATCGACAAAGAAAAATGGGGGTAGCCATGCATTTTTTTTTTGAGATAATTAGCCTTGAATCTCAACAAAATGCTGACATCAGCATTTTGCTGAAAAAAGAAGGAAAGGATATTTCTCACAGATTTCCATAGAATTCGCCTTTACACAGAAAAGCAAACACATTTAAAAAGATCTTTAAACTAAATGGCAAATGGTAACAAAAAAAACATTTTTGATGTTTTTAATAACAAAATCGTTGCAAAAGCGCTCTTAGCATATCTGACAGCCTTCCTCTGGTTCAGCTAAAATACAGTCTAAATACCTTTTGCTCACAACCAGAAACTAATCATGTGTTGAATAGACTTGCCACTTCCATTTCATAACATAAAATGTAGGGGTAACCACAAGATTTTTAAAGTTATTGACCTTTTTTGAAAACTTTTACGGTGCCCGTTACATTTTTCCCTGTCACCTCCCCAGTAAGTAAGACATTTGCGTACCTCGCACTTGTTTTGCACGCGCATTAGGCCAGTATAGTTTTGGACAGATAACAGCTAGGTTTTTAGCTGGAAGACGTAAACTGTTAGTAGTTAGCGATATGTTGCTATTCTGTTGTTCCTGGTTTAACTACAGGTTCCTTAAACTTGATTTGGTCACAGTAGGAAAATTTTGCTTTCATTTTAGGCATGTGCGTGATAACGTAGTTGATTGCGTCAATGTCAGCCCCAGTGGCGCATGGAGCTAAACCATGGCTTGCGTGATGCGCAGAACGTGTATGCACTAACAAAAGTAGGCACCGTCCTTAACAGTAACAGGAATTTTTATTGATCAACAAGAAGTTTACAAGCTTTAGTAGCTCGCAGCTAGCAAAGCTATTCTGGGCAAGCTACTATTACCTTCAAAGTATCATATAGTTTAATTAATAGAGAGAATAAGAGAAAAACAGAAATAGGAAATTTGCATAAATAAACAAAATTAAACCAAAATACTATACATAACACATAATGCAAACTTATGTTTATGTACATTTACATTTTGGAAGGATGAAGGCTCTTTCAGCTGAATGGTGACCATACAACATCTTAAGCATCTTCGACACAGATACCAAGAGAAGGGGTTGGATTCTGGTGTCAATGCAACAGACCTCATCTTTGTCTACTTCTGTGACCAGAATTCAGATGCCTGTGAGCACCTTTATACTGAGCAGATTGCAGTCTCCTTGAAGAATGTCCCTGGTTGCAAGGCACAAGCTTATACATCAGTGCAGGGTTTCACATAATCAACCCCTTTAAAAAACAAATTTTGGTGGTCTCTTCAATGTTCAGAAATCTGTCTCTAGTGGTACTATGGTGCTGTGTTTGTAGAGGAAGGTTCTTGAGCTCAACTCTAAAACTGGTGCCAAGAAAAATCCATCTCACAGGGGGGAATTTCATAACTCGTGGATGCTATATTACAGCAGAAATATTATTTGGAGAAGCAATATTACATCAACTCGCAATGTTCTTCCATTTTCCAGACAAAAGTGAGGTGTGGGCGTCACCCTACAACTCTGGCACCAAGAGTACGGAACGTATTATAAGCCAGCTCTATGAAACGATGACTGCATGAGCTGCAATCCCTGGATTCACAACCATCCTTCGGGGATATGCTGGACAAAAGTGTGAAGGTTCAATTTAATGTGAATGCCAAGAAACATGTTGCTGCAGCTGGGGTTGATGTGGGAGCGTTGTCCCAACAAAAGAAACAAGCGCTTGCTTTAAGTCTTGCAAGACCCCTATTAAGTCCAAACGTCAGTATCCAAATACATATCTCGCCTACATGGAACAGCATAAGCAGGCTCATTGTGAAAGTATAAAGAAAGGCCAAGAGATATAACAGAGGTTTGTGCCCCAGCCTTGCATAACTCTGTTGACAAAAAATGATAGCTGATAAACCTACAAATTTGAGCATCTAAGCAGCTTGGAAATAGTGAATGGTAACCTACCAGAGAATTATCTGAAGTTGAATTCAAATCACAGGGTTGGATCTCTCACAGAGGAGACTCAGTTAGAGCTGGATAAGGATCATAATGAAGAGGAGTGTGAAAGCAGACATGATTACATGACAGCACATGATGAGAGACCTCAAACTGGACATGGAGGAATTGGAGAATCAGATGGAAAGGAACCAGGAACAAAGTTGGATGATTTTGAAGGTTGAAGATGGGAAACTCAATTGCATTCACATAAACTGGGCTATAAAAGGTACTATTGCCCCAAGAACACATTGCAAGGTGTCGTCAGAAAAGACACTGGGCTTCAAAGTTCTTACCAGGGAAGCAATCACTAAATCCAGAGCACGACATTGTTGTTTGGGGATGTGGCTATAATGGTCTTGGATGGAAACAGTTTCTATTTAATAGCACGGGTAGAATGCATCAAGTCAACTAAGGATGGAAACTGGGGCTCTGAGTTTCAAGCTCAAAGATAATCCCCCAGTAAGGGTGAGATGTTCTGTGCATGACCGCAACAATGATGGGTATTATGAAGTTGGCGATGACATTATTTTGACTTCATGGAGATCAACAAGAGGAATTTTAGGAACTGTACAGCCCCTTCCCGTCTCAGAAGGCTCTTCTAAATACATGTTGCACGAAACATCTTGCAGCTGACTAGAAGAATTGTGCCATAATCCTTACAGTGAAAGATCTTCTATTCTTGCAGATGAAGACAACTATAACCATGTGGAGGAACCAAACAAACTGGAAGAGGGATTTTATCAAATAGAAAAGGTGTTAGAACACTGCATGAAAAGACACAACATGACTACAGAGTCAGATTTAAAGAGTAGGGCCCTGATGATGACATGTGGCTGCCAGCAGCAGCATTTAATAAATCCTTGTCGTTCATGTCAACATTGCACTATGGACAGAAGCGGAAACATAGGACTGATGAGTCATCTCTTTTGCTGAACACGACAAAACCTTTTAGGAAAAGTGAAGATCTTCTAAACAAATGAAGACTGACAGTAGTGGTACACAGACAAAAAATAGTGTGTAGCACACCACAGCCACGATGACCGAAAATCTTCAGTGCTGGTAAAAAAATTGTTCATCAAATTGCAAGCAACAGAACAGACATCAAGGATGAAGATTAGGTCAAACATGACAAAAGGGAAACACTTTCTTCGAGGTCTTCAAGCTTCACAGATTGGAGGGATAGATGCAACTGAAACCAAAGTGTTATCACACTCTCTAGCGACAAAGACGACAGCGAATTACTGGAAATGACTCCATTAAACTCTGATGTGAAGAATTTGTGATCTTACACAGGAAAACTTACAATAGCCCTTATTAATTAAACAGATTTCACCATTAATTATCTGTTTGTCATCAGTTTATAATCTGTTTAAACGCCTCATGAAAACCATTTCAAGTGTTTGGTAAAGAGTTTAATGATAGGAGCAGACCATTCAACAGCTTTCGTGACTGTTCACAACTTTTTTGCATCCATTAAAACGGGAAAAGGTATCTGTTAAGAAATCTTGTAGAAACTTGGAAGCTTGTTAAAGTCCTCAAGAAATGCCACTGCAAAGTCCAATGTTTAATCTTTGAAATGCTGTTGATTAAGAACAAAAAAACCAAACAGAACACGCAAGCTGATTCCATTCGCATAAAACTTTTTACGTAAATGTTTTCATGTAACATTTGCTAATTGAATTTTCTCACATGTGACCCTCCAAAGGAAAACAGTGAAAAAGGTGAAAGCAGGCACACGGCATGGCAGCTACACATTCGCACAGTTCAAACATGACACGCTTATTGTGCATATATGCAAAAGAAAACAATTGATTTCAAGTAACGTGCTTTTGGCCATTTGTTTGCATTTGGCTAACATGGTAGAGCTTTGTATTTTAACACGGTAGATTGACACGGTTATTTCTTTGTCTTTTAACATGCTAGACTTGTTAACACGGTAGATTTCTTAACTTGCATGCAACTTACCAGATTACATCGCCGAGAAAAAGCGTTGTTTTGCCAGCTCTCTCTATTGCTAGTCTTGCATGGCGAACAATTCCATACAGTCAGTGGCGGTTATTGCAGAGATGTACATTGTCAGCAATTTTCCTTGCGGGCGCGTATTTTGTCAGTGATAAGCAATGCGTGCTCGTATCTTTCTCCAAAAACAAAATGGCGGATGGCTAGAGGAAACGGCCTTCGAGTGGATATTTTAAACAACTTTCCCTCTTCACAAGCGATTTTTTGGAGCCATCGAAGAGAGAGAAAAAAACGGCAAATCGGGGAACCTTTTATAAAGTGGAAAGAGTCATTTCGAGGCGAACTGCGGATGGCAAGATACGATGAAGCTCTTGCCATTTTAAGCCTTAAGCTCATATTTCTGAGTTCAAGAGTATATTCTGTTCTCTTAGAAAGAATACCTTATCAAGTGGGATGGGTATAGCTATTTCAGCTGTACTTGGGAGGAAGAGGATAACCTTACAAGCAATCTTGTGCGGTAAGTAAATAAATGAATCGATCAAACGAATGAACGCATTGCACATGTACGTTTATTTAATAATCCATCATGCTAAAACCAGCGAGCAGACAATCACTAAATGGAGACTATAAAATTGAATTGTATAAAGTTTAGAATTGAATACAATACTGACATGGCTAAAATGCTGAAATTAGTAAAAGAGCTAAAGTTGACCAGTAAACATGCTATAATATTTTAATACAGACATCTATTTACATACAGTATAATTATTATACATGTGTGTGTTTAAGTAGATATAGATACAATTTCACATTTTTATGATTATGGATGTTTCCTTGCATGCCAGCATCAGAGGAAGGTTTGTGTTCACAATTTACACACCCACTGGTGACCGTACAAACCGAGGCATGAGCTGAAGGACACCCATAAATTGTATTGCTATGCAATCCATGCATTTCAATATACAAATAAGCTTACTGATACTCTACAATTTGTTTTTATCAAGGACATTTCAAAGACCATTTATTGCTCCAGCCCGACTGCAAGAAAACATTGACTGCTTACTTCTGGCTATCACTATGAAACTAAAAAGCAAATCAAGGGCACCAACAGTGTTGTCCTTCCATCATGAATGTTACCGGTTTTTATTTTTTGGAAAAGGAAGGCCAAGCAAGGATGGGAAATCAACCATGTTGGAGAAAGATGACTTTGCCCAGTGTAACTTCCATGACTTGTGGGAACAATGTCTTGACAAACTTGGGGATGTTCTTAGGATAAAATTTCCTGTAAAAATTCATATCACTTTGAGTTGGTCCCCTAAATGTTCAGCTGTTCAAGGTGGCATCCTTGTGAACCCACCAAGGATGCCCCTTGAGAAACTTACGATTGATTTTGTGTGCCAGCCATTTTCAATCCTTGATGCTTGATTGCTTATTTCCTCCTCTGTGAGCTTAGTAACTGAGCAATCTTGGTTAGGAGTATTCATTTTAGTGAAATGATGGCACACAAAATAAATCATAAGTTAACGTTTAAGAAATATTTAATAACATGATTATCACTAATTGCCCAATCACATTCTGCCCACTCACATTCCAAGATCATCCTCATCCCCAGAGGCAGCGATCATTCTGGTCTGCACCAGGGATTGTGATCTCTGGCCACTGGAATTTTGCAATTCACACACACATTGTCAAATATGACAAACCTGATTGGCTGAAAAATACAGAGTGGTTTCTCCACGCATGCTCAGAAATTGGGCACAGATGAGGAGGATTGCGACCTCTGGGAACACGAATTATTATATAAGATGTGACATACTTATCTTTGCAGTTGTGCATTTCACTAGTGACAGAAAACCACTGTCCTGTTCTTCAGCCTCCACATGCTTCAACCGAGTTATTGAAAAGCTGGCCTTCTCAAAATATTTTGGGTTCTCTTTGCTGTCCTTCCCCTTAATCCCCATAGACCTCTCATTTATGACAAATTCTGGTTAGGTCATGATGACTGGGTGGAATAATAATATAAATAAAAACCTGTCAAAGTTTATAAATTTAGCACTGCATAAAGGTCTGCAGTTTTAAATCACTGATTGATTGCAAATACATGAATTCAATTAGTTACTCTGTCATCTTGATCAATTTTGCTTTGATGAATAGGCCACTTTTGATATATTAAAATTCAGCTTGATAGTGAGGCCTGGAGGACAAAAACAAAAGAAATGAATAAACATGTTCATTCAGTTTCCTTTGTTTGTGTCCTCTAAGCCTCACTGCTATGCTGAAGTTTAAGAGTCAATGTCAGTAATTTTCACCTGGGACTGTGCAATAGCGAAAAAACAAAAAATCTGAAAAAATTTCTCAAGATAGCCCTTGGTGAACTACTTCTAAAAATATATATTTTACCTCGATCTGATAAATATTTTGGACGTAAAGAGATAAACTTGGTTTCGCAGCTCTCAGACCAGATTTTAGGCGTCGGATACCGAACACCGCTGAGACCTCCTTTGAAAATCAAAACACATTTTTCACGAAACAGCAAGTAACTAATCAAATAAAGCAGACGATAATACACATTTTGAGTGGTTATTTTCTCAGTTTAAATTAAAACTGAATTTTGGACATATTTTCCAGTATTTACAATAATTTGAGCGATTTTTCACTCCACAAAATTCACAAAATTAAGGACCTAAAATCATTGACTGGTACCTCGCCTTGTGTATCGAGACTTATTCCACATGAAAGAGCACTATTTCTTCTTGCAAAATCCATTTTCAAAACCATGCGCTACTTAAAATAAAATTTTTGANAAATCATTGACTGGTACCTCGCCTTGTGTATCGAGACTTATTCCACATGAAAGAGCACTATTTCTTCTTGCAAAATCCATTTTCAAAACCATGCGCTACTTAAAATAAAATTTTTGAGGTTGAAAAATACACGCAGTACTTTCGTGAAATTTGAGCTGTTTGATAATGGCATACCGATGTCGAAAGGTCACACAAACATAATGATAATATATTTTCGAAACTCAGCGCTTCAATAATATTTGCTGTCACTCATACTAATGTTTACAAGACTATTTTACATGATTTGCCATCTCTTTTGAGGAAAAATTAAAGAATTTGGCCATTTATTTTGATCTTGAGTTCCTAAGTGTACACGGGTCACGTAAAATTTGTCAAGGGTTGAAGGTGAAGCACTCGTTATCAAATCAAATTAAAAGATTTTCCAGACAGAAATTGCTCACTAACACACACAGTAATAACTTGAAATGGATGGCTCTTCATACCTTTCGACGGGCTTTCTGGACATTGAAGAAATCCCGGACTTAAAAGTTGTAAACCACACCTCCGACGAATTCAAAGCAATGGATTACAGTTGACTGCGTTACAGTTCACAAGGAGACTGCTGGTCAAAGAACTGTAAGGTCGATCAAGCCAAGGAAATTAAAGAAGTATTTTGAATAAATATAAATTTTGACACGAGCCGCTATCACTCTAAAAGGTGCATGAAGACGACATTACTGTTGTAGTTATTATTAATTTCTCGAGAAAAAAACTGTAGGTTTGGCACGGCTGGGCCGAGAGAAACGAAACATTTCCTTATATGGTGACAAAGATAATCCGTCACTGTGCGAACTTGGAGATATAACATCATCTCATTTGTTTAGATATTTAATGGATTAAGTTCACTCTCATTTTGTACCCCTTTTACTTTACCTTATTGGGATTATATCTAAAAATACCCACGTCACTGTGAATTCAGAGTGCTACAGAGTGCTACGCTGTGTTTGTTGCTGTTGTTGTTCTGAATTTGTATTGGACTTTCAACAAGAGAAGTATTGGGGTATCGTGTTTTATCGGGATATCGCGTTTTAAGTATATGTGTTGAATGGCATTGTGTGAATACGCTGCTCAATTTGGTGGACAACGCAGAGCTATCGCAGAAAACCCAGGCAGCCCTCAATGTATCTCAATTGCAAAATGTGACAAGGACATAAGAATTCAAATGAGGTCTTTTGGCGTTGGTTTTGCAGATTCAAACGTAAAGACTGAGGCAGGACTTCTTCTCGCCAGGGCAGGTATGCATTAACGCAGATCTTTGGAAATGTGAACTTGGCAGGCTTTCTGCT